TAACAATAATGCACTGAAAATTTTAAAATTGTTATGGATTTCTGTCATTATATTTTGCTCTAAGAGATTTAGATTTGTCTTGAATAAAAAAAAAGATATAACATTTGTACAAAATGGCTGTAAAATTAACCTGAAATAGGTTTATCCAAGGCATCTTGGTTAACAAATTTATGAAATTCACAAAATTTGTCACCGACACATTGTCACCTTAGTGCAGTAACTGCTTAACTCTGATTAAATTTAGAAGGACTTATTCTGTTACTGCACTAAGGTGAAGATATAGAAGTATTCAATATATATCAGACTGTATCCTGTTACTATTACAAGGAGAGGAAGAGATAACATTATTTAATCACAGTTCATTACATTTCACTTTACACTTAGAAATTGTTGATTGCACACCAGACTGTATCTACGAAACCAACCTGAAATAGAGACAATAAGTACATGTTACATTATTTTTCCGTAAAAACTGTATTTACCCACGCATAAGACGGATCACTTATAAGACAGGTGGTTCTTATTTTCCCTTAAAATGGTCAGATTATGCATTTACCCTCTTATAAACAGTGTCATATACATTGACCATCTTATAAACAGTTGCAATAAGATAAACAACAAAAACAGACTTGATCTTTTATAAATATCAAAATAATTTTAATCAGTTTATTTCAAAATCTTACAACACTGTACCCCATTTTTCATATTACCTAACAGCTATTGGTATGTGTACATGCAAGACCATAAAATTATTGCATGAATCCTTGGCATGTTGCCACTGTTGCAAAATTGCAGAAGCACAAAATTGCTATGTAGCATCATTACAACTTGATGTTGAACAATGCTCTTGTTTGAAAGATAATAAGGAGTTGAAGGATCTTTTTTCTATGTATTTGATGTCACAGAGGTTTATACTTTGTTTTCATTACAGAAATATTACATTGATAATGGGTAACTTGTTTTCATCACAATTTACATACCAGTTAGCTGTCACTGACATTAAAAAAGCTGAAAAATATAATTTACAAAAAAAGAAAACCTCAAATAAAATGATCTGGTTGATGAAACTGTAGCTTACTAGTACCTTGAATGTGTAAACATTACTATAATATTTATTAAAACAAAAAATAAAGAATCAATAAGAACGATTTTCAAAAATACAGATTCAAGTCTTTAACGATATATGTCATATACGGGGTGGTTAGGTATTTCTAGCCAAGAACAACGCTAATCATGAATAGTGTTTGTGCTTTATTTGCATGGAAATGCTAAGCAGACCAGAAAGAACATAGTCAATAGACAGACAGAGTAACATATGTCTTACTTCACATGTGTATGTTGAAGTTATTACATATCATTTTAACAAAGTTACTAAATAAAGTAAAAGTTAATATCTTTTACCGTTTTGGAAGCTTCATTGACAAGACAGTATGGTGTCCCTCCATTTTCAAAAAGGTTAACATAATTAAAATTTTTGAAGTTCATAATTGTGTAAATGAAATTAAAATTTACATTTTCAGAACTTTACTGTACTCATATCCTCTCATTGACTATGTTTGTATTTGATATACTAAACCTGGTTAATATAGCTAGGGGAATAGAAACAAGGGTAATAAACAGCAGAAATATCCATGAAATATATGATCACACATATATTATTGTCAAATAAAAAGTTGTAGTTGTTTTTAACTCACTTATGATAAATTACAACAGTTGAAAAAAGACCTTAAGTCACATTACTTTCAGACTTACATTGCTAAATTCATATCACTTATGTCTTGCCATGCTTTGAAATTAAAACTGCCTATTGACTTTTTAACTCATAAAAAGTCTTGTCCATCTTTTAACAAGACCAGTCATCATTTTTATAGAAAATTTTAAATATATGAACTGACAGAATAGCAAACTGTGCACGCCATGATGGTACAAATGCACCAGGGGAGCTTGGTCTGTACTGGTCATATGATGTAAAATCTGTTGTGGCTAGCAGGTTCAGGGTTAACGGGGTTCAATATAAAACAAGCTAAATTTGAGCAGCCTATTGTATAAAATCTGTAAGCTTGCATAAATGTGCAGTAAGATGACCTAATTTTATATGAAAATAATCATTGCCACCAGCATTGGAAAGAGTCTAACCCTTTTTAAAAAATATAATTCAATTTACAAAAATAAATGAATACCTGTATTTAAAACATTTTCTAGATTGAAATTTCAATTCAATTTTTTCAAGTAATCTGATAGAGAAATATGTTTCAACTAAAATTTCTTTAGTTATCAATGTGAATGTTGTATTACATTAAATTTCTATCATGTCAATTACTAAATACTCTAGAGTTCGTGAAATGGACTTCCCTTACTTTAAATTTCGAACTGTCATTTGCAAATTTAAGTTGACTTCAAAGGTCTATCATTACCACTACTAGCTATCAAGGGGTTAATGAAAATGGAATAAGGGCATGTTTAATATACAGAGCAAATGGCGGTAAAAAGTTTTTGGAAAAGTCTGCTTTTCTACATCTAATTTTACCTCACTGTCTATGTAATGTATATGAACATTTATTCATATCATTTTATACTGGTAGTGCCCTGTAATATCAAGTAAAATTTATTTTTGACCTCTTTCACTTACAATTGGAAGAAAATAGATTTTAACTTATTATTTTCATCAACATAAATAGTACCATTTCTTCACTGTAGAAAACAAATTCTGCCATAAAACATACCTGGTAAATAACCATAATTAAGGCAGTTGTTTATGTCTCCAAAATCATCAAGTTTCAAAATATTCCCTTCAACATTTTAAAAAATTTCCATAAATTTAAATCTATATATAATGCCACTGTATGTTTTCATTGTATGTATTTTTATCTATTTCTGACCAACAAAGCTAATAATTAAATTGATGATCCATTGTTTTAAACATGTGAACCTATTCACCCGATATAACAATTGTAATGCTTAAGAAGAACAATACATCTTAGGCCAGAATCATCGCTTAGCATGAACAGTTGAACACTATTATAAAGGTTTGAACTTTCACCTTAATCGATTTGCTTATGATTTGAACATATGACTTGAGATGCTTAGCTGTAACCTAAATATAAGGTCATTCAACATTCATAAGATAAAAAGCAAAGCCATTGTCTCTGCTAAATTTCCAACAAATGCACACTATAGTCTTGCAATGCACACAAAAAGTCATGCAGTTTTCAACAACTTTAATCATAAAACTGCCATCAGACCATTTCGAAATGCCATGTAATAGATAAAAAGTCATATGCTTTATCCATTATAAAAAATGTAAACTTATCATGCTCACAAAACTGGTCCAATATAACATAAAACCAGTCTAAGGTATAGAAACTTTGCTATTGGCCAATTTCAAATCATAGCTTTCCTATTGGTCAATTTCAAATCTTGTATATTTAACCAACCAATCAAATGAAAATGTTTCAGACAGGTTTCAAGTTTGAAACTGTTTAAAAGGTTAAACTCTTGGTTTTATTCATAAATAAGTAGAGGATTACCATGAGCTATTGTAGGGAAGACGGACAAAACCCCACCAGTTAAAACCCCACCACTCAAAATTTTATAGAGTGGACAAAACCCCACCACTAAATTTTATAGAGTGGACAAAACCCCACCACTAAATTTTACAGAGTGGACAAAACCCCACCACTTACCAATTATTGGGCAAGATTTGATGAATTAAAATATATATAATATACAGTACACATTTTCACATTTTATATTTTAATTTCAATATAACATTTGTGTAATACTGGTATAAGAGATTATACAAATAATTTACAAACTGTTAAATCAACATCAAAGAGTAGTCATTTATTTGAGATTGTGCCACATTTATGACCTTGAATTATCCATTATTTTAAGTTTCTTCAAATTCATGTATTCAATTTATTTATAAAAAAAATAAACTACTTACTATTCATCAAGAATGTAGCACATTTTCATCAATTAATGATTAGAAAATAGCACATTTTGATAGCACATTTCTAATTTATTCAGTTCAGACAATTTTCCATCATTGTACTTCATTGTACTTAGTTTAAGTGGATACTGTGGCTGATAGCCTGAAGAAACTCGGGTACAGTCTTCTCCTTATTGATGAGTTGTTCACACATTCTTTTGAGTTTCATCTGCTGCACAATTGTTTGTTTTTTAACATGTTTACAAGAAAGTTATGTCCACTCTATAAAACTGAAGTGGTGGGGTTTTGTCCACTCTATAAAATTAAGTGGTGGGGTTTTGTCCACTCTATAAAATTTAGTGGTGGGGTTTTATCCACTCTATAAAATTTTGAGTGGTGGGGTTTTAACTGGTGGGGTTTTGTCCTACATTCCTATTGTAGCTCTCCGTCCAATTCCTATCTGCTTAAATTGTAAATTATTTACATGTATATATATCCTTGAATAAAAATATGTTTAAACCAACTATGTACCTTACACTGTAAAACAAGGTATGAAATTTTCTCTTTTTTTCAAATACATGTACAAAAACAATGCAGTTAATAGAAACAGTTCTATATTGCTACTTCATCATGTCACACACTGCATGGCAATTATACCTACAGCTGAAAACTCTGTTCTGTAAACAAAATAGCATTAGGAACAAAGAAACTCTTAAAATGGAGCAGTTTTTTTCATATGTAGACAAACATTCAATTATACAGTTGCTATCATTAATAGAATTCATTCAATTTTGCAACCTCTTCTTTGATCTATTGATTTTAAATCAATTAGCAAAGAAACAATTACAATGTACTGCAAAATTGTTCCATATACAGAAACTGGTCAAGAGATTCACGATTTAAGGCTGCATGTATGTGCATCCAACAACTGAAACAAAATTGTCTTCACAAGATTGTGTGTTCTGAAATATTCTTATGTTTATATAAAAGAATAACTTTTTACCAAAATTAAAAACATGTCATTTACTGTTTTCCTTTTTTTCTACAAATTTTATCCACGATTTATAACTTACCAAGCTTTTGTTTTAGGTTTAAGCTCCTGAATTATGGCATGAATGACATCTGTTGTTGTGGCTTGACCTCCAAGATCCGGCGTATGAACCTGAAATATTTCAACCATTTGTAAACATGAATGGCATAATGGTTACTATAACCTTACTAAACCTGTTGGGACCAGGACCGAAAGTAATGAGCATTTGGCCAAGCCAGTCAGCACGTTTTGTAGACTGGCCTGGCTCTATTAAGTTGGTAGCATAATTATTGTATTCTTATTTTGAATTTCCTCTTCTTTGAAAGAACTATTTTAAAACACCTCTAATGAACTGCTTCAAATTAAAAGCTAGACAAATAAAATTTAGCAGGTGAATGTGACCATGCTGTGCAATGTTGGTAGCTCAATTTTTGTACTTTTTATTCTGTTCAATGTATAAAGCAAGGCCTATTAAATTCAGGAGTGCAAGAATTAAATGTTTAGATTTTATTATTTCATCGACTTTGTTTGAAGATTGAAATATAATTCAGTATAAATGAATATAAACGGTATCATTTGTCCAGTATGACCCTGACCTCTTGAGGAAAACTTAATATAATTAACACAGTGATACAGAAGCACGCCAGTTTACTGTCCAAATCCTTTAACCATTGACTTGTGTTTTAATACATCGTTTTTATCAATAATTCAAACAATAAACCAATGGTGAGTAATAAATTCACCCTCAAATATATGATTCAGGAGTGGCTTCGTTGAATTCCTGTAATTAGCAAACTTATTGCTGTTAACGCAGCTTTTGTCCAAAAGTAAATAACAACCACCAGGGATTCAAAGGAAATCTTAACAGTAGAATCATTAATTAATTAACTTCATGCATTCACATTTTACTAAAGTTAGACAATATTTTTTACTATTTATTGTATCATTTGTATTTCTTATTTGCAATTAATAGAAGAAACATAAACATACTAACCTTTTTTTCATTGAGAACGTTAAGAACTGATTCCCTGATCAGAGTTGCGTGTCTGTAATGTCTGAAAAAGTAAAAATACCAATTTAAACATAGTGACAATCTTCTTATAATTGTTGTTCAGAAATGGGTTTCAATGTCACTTGCCAGTTTACAAAGAAATTTTTAAAATGATTTATGCTGGCCAAAGAAATCTGAAAATTAAATATACTGGCCAAAGAATGAACAACATTTGCTAGAATATCTGCATTATTTGCTGATCTGGTGTTATAACCTAAACAACAAGGGACGAGTTTTCAAGCTGTCTTTTTTAACCAATATAAGGCATTTTTTTAAACAATCCTTTGTAGGACCACACCCTTCCGAGTTAGTCCCTCACCAGAAAAAAAACATTAAAAAAACCCAACAAAAAACAATGGGCACTACCATAGTAATGACACAGAAAATCTTTGTATATATTATACACATGTGTTCTACAAATTTGTTGGACTTAAGCACAAGTAATGAAAACTTAAGTCACTGGGTCACACCTCATGTACTGAAAAGAAAAATGCTTCAAGTGACTGAATCAACTATATATGTCCTTTATTCAAAGATAGTCTCTAAAAAAGGTTAGACATTAGACATTTTCTTACATACCCTAGATAGTCCAGCATATCACAGCTAGCCAACAGCAGCCCAGTGGGATTTGCAATGTTCTTCCCTTTCAATGACAAACCAGTGTTTCTAGTTCCCTATAACAAACATGTCCGTATTACACTGTTATTACAATATCAATTACTATATCAATATAATTTGATAACTGAAAATGTAATTATTTTATTCAAAAAAGTTTGACAGGTAAATAGTGCAAGAATCTATACTTACCATTCTAAAATAAGCATAAATCTATGACTATTTCAAAGCTTTGGGTCAATTATCTTTAATTGTTGTAATTTTGTCCTATGTAAATATAACGTAAGTTTGCTCATACATGTATATTCTTCATAAAACTGTCTCAACCATCCTATAATAAGGTTGTGCTCTTAAATTACAAAATTAACTTTTCAATATCACAAAGTCAGGCCATTTTATACTTGACAAAGTTGAAGACAATACCGTTAATTGCCGATTCTGTGTAATGTTTTTTCCAGCTATAATTTTGGAGGTGTAGCTGGCTCTAACCTAATCAGTATAGGCTAATTAGTTTAGGATTAGGCATAAACTATGTAAAAATTTTACCATTTCAAAGACAGCATACTCCTCCCCAACATTAACTCCGCCCACTACACCAGAACCTCCCACTAGCCCTGTTGCTATGTTACTGAGAATGTTACCATACAAGTTAGGCATCACAAGCACATCAAACTGCTGGGGTCGTGACACCATCTGTTAATGCAAAGTTAATTAACTTTAGCACAAGTACTATTTCTCACATTAATAGCATATATATTATTTACAAGGGTTAGAAGTCATTCCAAAAAGGTCAAACTGAAAAGTATAAAAGAGGGAGTTCAATACTGAATTAATTGAACAAGTTGTATAAAAATATAATTATCATTTGAGCCTTTGGCAATATTATTTTATTCAACGACTTTTATGAATCTTGTCAATAAAGCTACATGTGTATACCAAAATAACATTTTTATCTCACATATTCTAAATATGAACAGTTCAAAGTAAAATTGTTTTTCATAGGTGTTCTTATACTGTAATGCTAACATTTAACATGAGCATACCCTTTGTTTGAATAATGCATACAATGTCACATCAAAATATATGCATAGCTGAGCAATACCATATTTACTGAGCCAGAAAAAGAAAAACTAATAGTGATAAAGCACATTTAACAATGATTTATATACCTGCATACTAGCATTATCAATGATCATATCGTTAAACTCAATCTCAGGATAATCTTTTGCAACATTCCTACAGCAATTCAAGAATAACCCATCTCCAAGTTTCCTGAAAAGAAATGATGACATTACTCAAAACTTCTCAAAACAATATTTTTATATGTAATGAATGATAATTTCAAACAAATTTGAAGTACAATTTTCTATGATAGTGAAGTGTCAGTTCTTCTGCAGATAATTTCTATACCAGAAAGAGGTTAATAATTGAAGTACTAATGATAAAATACTTCTTAATACTTCTAGAGATGCATTGAGAGAAGCGAGAACATCACATCATTCCTTGTTTCTTTGAACAAATTCAAGTTCATAGGCTTTCTGTCTGTTATCATGACCCTTTAATTAAACTTATTTTTTAATATTTTTTCAAAGTAGGATTTTATGCCACCCTGACTCTATAAATTTCAAACAACATTTTTCGAACTGGATTTTTTGAATCAGCTACAAGTGGGAAAAGGTGGCTATGGATACATAGTATAATTAATGTTCTTTTGTATAATTAATGTTCTTTTGTATGATTAATGTTCCTTTGAACAGTTTTGATTGCAGAGTTCCTATATCATTCAGAGAACTTGACCGAGGTGGCTGTGTGTGTCAGACAGTATCAGTAATGATTATAGCTCTTACATAATGTTTGCCTTGTGTACAGCTGTGACTTTCTTCCTCCCATGTTTCTGTGCATAATCAAATGCATATCTGGCAATATTTGTAGATTTAGCTGCTGTGATGATTTTCAGACTTTCAATAACACCATCAACACTCTGAAACACAATTATTTGTGCAAAAGTAAAAAATATCCTACATTTTTCAAACAACCTAACTTAATCTTTATGTCAGCGGATGACAGAAATGTGCAGCTTGATCAAGATTCTACCAACTGAGCTATGCGGCAGCTTACACATCTTCTCACCTTATCTGTGAACAGTTCCTTACTGTAACATTTACCAAACAAATATTTTCTCAGGCTTACCTAGAGGTCAACAAACAATGCTGATGTTATATTGGAATTTTCTAGTATAAATGTTGGAAAAAAGCAGTTTAACCTATAGGTACTTTAAATCTTACATGAGCTGATACCTATGTAAATATCATTAAACAATCAATGTGGGATTTATATATATATATATGAAAGACACTAAATACTTTTATAAAGCTTAAATTTCTTATCCCTCCAAAGGTAAAGGTGAGAACAACTCATCTAAGCCTCTAGCAAAGTCAGGCCAGTCTGTATACCAATAATACTTTTTCATGTACAGAATATAACATCGGCAGCTTAATCTTAAGTATTTTGGTATTAAATAATCTTTTTTTTGGTAATGTTTTAAATCACCGACACCATTGAAGTCATATGGTAACTTTCCAGTTTTGATGCACGTAGGAAGAGCTAAGCTGTCTCTAATATCCTACCAGTCATAATTTCTGGTACATGCAGGCCTCTTTTAATACTTTAAACCCCTCAATCAACAAAATTTTGAGCTGCACCATGACAAAACTAAGATAGTGTGTTTGCGACCAGCATGGATCCAGACCAGCCTTCGCATCTGCGCAGTCTGATCAGGATCCATGCTTTTCACCTACAAACAAGTTTAGAAACTGACAGCTAATAGCATGGATTCTGATCAGACTACGCAGATGTGCAGCCTGGTCTGGATCCATGCTGGTCACAAAAGCACTTTGTTGGTTTTGTCATGGCGAGGCTCATTAAATGGTCAATTCCAAGATAATAGGGTTAATGGTATGCTGTAAGTCTGCTTATTGTTTCATCAATTCAGACATTAATGTATACCAAAGTTTACCTCATGTTCAAGGTTTGAGTATTCGCCCTCTGTGTTTTCTCTGATTAGGATCATGTCTATATCCTGGTGCCGAGTTGGTACTCCAGGTAAAGACTTACATCTTACAACATTCGCAAAGAGATTCAGGTCCAGTCTGAAATAGGATTTTATAATATCTTAAATAAAGAACATAGTAAACTTTAAAGATAATCCATATTTCAGGATTAATGAAACTTAGAATAAGTTCCTCCAACATTTATTTTGCTCCATTTTATTTAGAAGATATAACAAATAAAAGAGATGTGCTTAGTGTACATACAGTTTTCATGATTCTATATTACTTTTTGCAACTTTAAAAATAAATTTTAGTTTTATGTTTTTCTTCCTGTCAACCATTACAAATCACTGTTTGTATGGCTACAAGTATGTATGTATTGTTTGGTTTGATGAAAATTAAATCAATGATTGTTATGTTAATTATAAAAAATCAAGCCTCACCTGGGTGTACTCCTTAGTGAATGATACATTTAACTTAAAACAGAACTCTAATTAACTTAAACATCTGTTTCATCAAAATCTTGACAATAACAATACAAGTGAATGACAAAACACAAACCTTAGTTTTACATTCATAGATGCTACTGAACTGTCATGATTCGTTGCTATGTTACCTGTAAACAAACACAACTAATTTATAATTAAACCAGATTACAATATCAGTCCAAAAACATACTCATAGGATTCAATGGCAATAAATGAAAACAACAAATTAAAGAATTAAAAAAAATATATGTGATATTAAATTCCTGCAATTTCGTTACTCCATAGACCTGGGTCCCAAGGTTATGAAGAAATTATCTAGGCTCAACTTTGACCTCTAGTATTTGATTGGTCAAAAACTCCCACAGAATGTACACTGACCAATGAAAATCCTGAGATCTGAGACAGAACTCAGAAAAAGAAGTTTTATAATCTGAAGACATGGATACTGAATTCACCAAGACCTCTTGGTATGCCACGTTTATTGAATTGACAGTCTGCTCGCTAAGCTCAATAGGGACAGCATACATGATTGAATTTGTAATCTAAAGTAAAGGTTGCTGGTTCAATCCTCAAGTGAGGCAAAGTCTTTCTGTGATAACTGACCTCAGACATTGAATAAAATGTTCATTTGACTCTCACTTCTGATTCAAAAAAAAGTTTGTGAGAAATCAATGACTATGAATACTGGTTAGCTATCCACCTAAGGTTGTTAGGTGCCCCGACTGCCGAGATAAAACCAACCATGTGTTGAAATCGACATAAAGATCAGACAAACATATTCAACTGATTCACTTAGTTTTCAAATTAAATAGCATATCAATCCAATGTCACTTTTTTGATAATTTGATAGGAGTATTAACAAACAAATTTTTATTTTGCCATTGCAAAAAAAGGCCCCTGTTTTGGTTTTATTTAAATGTTTTACTTTAATGCTTACTCATGGAGGAGTTAAATGTTTTCTTTTCAAAGCATACATACATGTATATATTTTTTTTACCTCATCAAAGAAAGTCTTAAGGTTACCTAGAACTCGGCCAGTTGGATGTGTCACCTTGTAAACAGCATAGCGGTCATCGCCGACGCTGTCAACAAAAGTAACCCCTATATGTCGCCTTTTTCAAGGCGACACAACCAAATGATAGGTGTTATTTAAAAAGAAGATATTAGATTCTAATTTAAATATTATGATTTACCTTTTATAGCAACTCCATTCCTGCCCACGGAGAGTAAAGCCTGATTGAGAAACTCTTCATCTGTTATGTCAGCATTTATATTCACCTCTTCAAATACGACTGGAGCTCCAGCATATCTGTATTATATAAAATAACACAACTCTATCTATGTAAATAATCACCTCTGGTCCAAAATACACATGAATATAAGTACAATATGATACACATGTATTGAATGTTATTTCACAACATAAGATTAGAAAGAGTTCGTTCTTTTCAACATGTGAAACACAAACACAGATCATTTAAAAATGGTTTCTTCACTTTGTGAGTTCAACAGTGAATTAAAATCAAATGATGTTCCATTTGATTACCAACTGTAGAAATAACTAGTAGAATATCATTACGCTTAGAACATTGAAAAAATAATCAATAATAAATGAATAAAAGTTAATTTTTACTTTCTTTAAACTGTACATAATGTTTCTCATGTCTAAATTATGAAAACTTAAATACTTATTTCTAAATTTATTGAAAAGTTAAACTAAAGTTAAGTCATATGCATTAAAAAAAGTGAAATCGAAGATTATGTACCTGAATATGTCATGGACATGTTTAAGGAGCTCTGGGCCAACACCATCCCCAGTTAAAGCAGTCACTGTATTTCTTCCTCCATACTTGCCAAACTTCTGCAAATAAAACGAAGTTATGTTCCATCTGTTATTAAATTTATGAAACGGTACTATTTTGAATATGACGGATCAGTTAATTGTACATCACATGTCTATGTACTGGAGACATGATACAGAAAATTTTACTAGCTCATCTTTTGAAGAATCAATTTTAGTATAATGAACTTTTCTCCTATATGTTTTGGATAGAGTTTTTTCATGTAATCATGTGATGAATTATGAAATAACCTGGGTAAAATGTATAAGGAATTGCAAGTTGTTTTCTGAATGAATGAAACATTTTCCTTTTTGTCTATTCTGGGTTAAAATTTCAGTAATAACAGATTGGGAATGTTGCTGAAATACAAATGTTCACATATTTACAATCTGAAATGAGTTCAATACAGATAAACATATTAAAATAATAATGAAGTCACATTTTATTTATAAAACTACAGCAGATGGTTATCTTTATGTTTACCACAAAACTTCATATACTTTCATTGCACAAGAATATATACTGAAAGTAAGGTTCATTGAAATAAACATACTAACCTATAATAATACATTCACTTAACTCAGTGAATACATACGGTCTCCAATAAAGTGAAGGATAGTGAAACAGTCTACCGATGCACAGGAGGGTACTAAAATAACAGCATCAACATGTTCACATCAACATGGGGAACCATTATTAACTACTGACATAACCAAAACTTAAATTTATGCACATAAATAATGGAAATTAAGCAACTAAACTTTACCTCAACAGAAGCTCTAGTAGCTGTGACTTGATTCCTCTGAGGTAAAACAACCTAAAATAAAAGTAAATTTATATGTATAATAATTGAAAATTTCAATCATAGACTCATAATATATTAATTTTGTGCAATATGATTTATAGACAAAAAAGGCATTAACTAAAGAATCAGAATATTCGATTAATATCTAAGGTTGATATTATCAGGTGTTTTAGATTATTCTATTTTTCTGTTTCAGTCCAAACGTCTAATTAGATGTCTGTTTATGAGGGAATATAATAGGCTAAATAGCATGTTTTTACACATACAGTAGTCAGTTCATTTCATGATTCCCCAAATTCCGGTCATTTTAGAGGTTTGATCAAGTAGAAATACAGTGTAAGAAACTTACACTGACAGTCTGTAAACATGATTTGGTGGCAAATCACTTGAGGGTTTTTATGAATAAAAACATTATTTCATAAATCATATTGTTTAACTGACACACAATCAAATAATCTTAAACATAGGAGCTAGTCAATTGCACAATGAATACTAGCCTGTGTTCTAGATTCACCCTGTTCTTGATTCAATATAATTAATGCCATTGGAGAAAGACTGAAATAAAGTGTGGTACACATGGTCTTGAGCATCAAACTCCTAATCCTGAAGTCCAGATCATGGGTTTGAATCCCACTACTGGTGCAATTACCTGTTATGACAACCATGAAGGATTCTACTAGTGTTACTGTAACTTAAAGCCTGTTTCAAGGTCCACAAAATATTGATTGTCATTAATGGCATGGAGTTTCTGTGTTAATGGGAAAACGAGACAAGCGATTGACCTTTTCGAAAACCTAGCTTAACACCGTTTTCCGGTACGTTACGGATTTAGCTCTGGGGAATTACACCAAATGAAGAACATAACACAACTACATAATATTTCTATTTTTCATCTTTATTTTACCATTTAAGGTGATAAAATTGATGTGTTTGAAAATTATCAATATTCATGTAATAGCTATCGCATTTTTAAAAAAAAAAAAAATTGTATATAATGAAAATCAATTAAATTAAAACAGTCGTAGTAGCATTTTCCATAATAAATAGCATAAACTTATGTAATTACTTTATTTTTTTATGGAATTATTCATACAATGAATTCAATTATTTTCTTACAAAGAAATAACTGTTTTATTTCACTTTAATTAAAATAGGCCAAAAACATACAGAGTTCATTATTACAAACCATTAGTTGAATTCCCCAGAGCTATGTAGAGAAAGTACTGGCAAACGGCATTTAGCTAGGTATTCCATTCCTGAATTTACATAAGATTGCAATCTTGAACAGGCTGGTGAAAATGCCCTATGGGGCTTAGACATAAAATATCATATTACTAGAAAAATAATTAATATGTTTCTTCCTAACTTTTTTTTATCAAGCATTGATATATGATACAAATCAAAATCAAAATATTTTGGTTATCTTTTATTTTCTTAGAATTATTTCCCTTTTTCCCATTTTCTAGAAACAAAATTTTTGAAGTTCATAAAAATTATATTGTAATGTAAAAGTCTAAATAAAAATGTGTCCAACAACTTCATTTTGCGCCAATACCTTTATTCTATATACATGTATTTGGATTAAATATTCTGTTTCTGGCATTTATATTTGGACAATCTTTTGACACTGAACATTATACTTTGAAGTTTTCCCTCTGAAAACTGAATGAAATGTATGCTGACAGGTGTTGGCGCAATGAATTACAGGTGTTCGCGCAATGAATTAGAGTATAAAGAAGTTGTTTAACCTATTTTGTTTTACACTTTGCTTATGTAACATACTTTTTAAGGACTTCAAAAATTATGTGTTGTAAAAACATGAAAAAAAGGGAAATAAATCTCACAAAAGTGACAGTAGTCAAATGTTTTTCTTTCTGTTTATATCAAATATTATTCTCAACAAACAAACAAAGTTTAAAAGAAATATATTTACTTCTTTTCTAGAAATATGATTTTTTATGACATAAGCCCGATCACGCATTTTCACCAGCCTGTTGAAGGACTGGTCACTGATGAAATCATGCAGGGATCAATCCACCTTACAATAATGTCAAACCTTTTGTTGGGGCATAGACATGTCTGCCAATCAAAATCACAAGAAACTTAAAAAGAATTGTTTAAAAGACGATAAAAAAAGAATATTTAACCCTTTCACTGCCAAAGGGACGGCTTAAGCCGCTCCTGTTATTTTCAGCGTATTTGCCATATGGACGACTTTAGCCATTTCTATAATAATAATAGTAATAATAATAAATTAATAATAATAAAAATAATAATAAATGTAAAGAAAATACACCCATAAACAATTTTCATATGAACTAGGTAAATAACCGAGGTATATCGAGTGAAAAAAAGGGGTTGTTTCCCTTATCTTCGAGTAAAATTGGTATATCATACGCTAAAACAATACAAATTAAGCCATTTTTAAACCTCTAGTTTGTTGTGATTAAATGTCCGATTTTAAAAATTATTACATCAATGGAAAGCTTGGGATCTTAGCTTTGTCAAGTATATAATTTTACATATCTTTTGACACCAAAGTATTTAAATTAACTGTTAAACCTACCATATGTCAGCCCATTTAACATACGATTTATATAGTGAGATACGCAACCGGTTATCTTTACTCGAAAACCTACTGATAAGAATAGCCTGTCGTCTACTAGTTGGGGAAAGTGTTTATCGGTGTATTATACCATCAACAATAATTATTATTATACTAACATATTTGGAAACATATATAATTATCATAATACTAATAACAAATAATAATAATTATATTAATTAATAATATCATAAGTAATTTCTTAGAAAACCCTCTGGCAAATACGTGAACAATAAAACAATAACCCTCTGGCAGCGAAAGGGTTGAAGATGTTAAATAAGGATGACATCAAAAATGATTTTTTTCATACATAGGGAAGATCTAGTCCTATAAATATGACGTCGCTTTGAGATATTTTGCTTCTGGGCAAGGCTTGCCCAACTAAGACTATCAACAAGCCGATACTTCTAATATTTTGGACTAAGGGAAGATCATGAATGACAAATCTCTGTCAACCCAATGGTTTGAAACAGCAGTATATAATGTAAACAACCGAACCTATAAACAACTGTTAAGGTGTTGAAGTATCGTTGGCCGATTGAATTTTACTTTTTTATATACCCCACCCACTAAAATATCATTGTGCATAATATAATTTTCTTGATTTCAAGATTTCATTTACAAAAACAATTTAATTATCAATGGGCGAAGTTGTGCAGTAAGATTTTCAATATAGAAATTCCGTCAAACAATATTACCTGTGGTGAAACTCTCAGATTTTTAAGAAGTTTTTGAAGTTGAATCGAACGCCGTATGGACGCAGCCATGTTTGTCCTTGACCTCCGCTAAGCGATGAACACCGAATGTTTCCGAATGTTGGAGCCATCTGTCAAAATGGAAAACAAATTAAGGTACATTTATTTCATTGTCCTCTAGTTGCCTTTGATGATGACAATCTTATTAAAATATTTTAAAAAGAAGGATCTGTATTAAAATTTTGAAATTTGATCATGCTTTTTGTTTTCTATTGTGAACAATATTTTTTTTGAATGTAAAGTTGTCTATTTCTGAATTAGGCACTGAACATTTGAAGAGCTGACTGTCACTATAATGTTAACTCTCCACATTATGATGTTAAATTATTATGTTTAAAAAAACAATAAGTTTGAAAATATAGAAGATAGCTGCAATACAGTCTGCACTGTCTAAGGAAATGAACTGATGCACTGTTATGGAAATGGTTAGTATATAAAGGAAAGAAGATTTGACCCATACACTTCCCTTCATGGTGTGCACGTGACTCAGAGTGCATAGGTCACCTAGTTAGGTCACTTAACTGGTGTGACCTAACCAACGGCAAAGGGTGTGGCTCTACAAAGTGCTGCTGCCTCCAGGAAGAGGTGCCTTTTCTTCTTTTGTCTTCTGCGTTTAAGAATAAGATATGTATCTCTAAGCTCCAGCAAGAGGTGGTTTTGACCCCTGGTGTTGCTTTGAAGTTTGTAACAACCGTGGTTAGCCAAAATCATCTTTCCTGCTTTGGTGCCATATGACCTTAATTGTGTTGGTACACTGTAAAACCAAACAAAACAAAACGATAGTCAGCTGTTTGTTAGTGCAATGTATATGTTAGCATGTCAAAAATATTTACATTATACATGGTAAAATAGGCTTAAACATGATAGCATTATAATGTTTTGAGCCAAAATTCTTTGAAAGATCAATTGCTGACAACATTGTTCTTAGGTTTCAGACAGTTGTCTTGGTAACAGAATTAAACTTATTAAACAGCATGGTTTGAAATAGTCTCAATATTTCGACAGCAAGACAGACCGATTTTATAATCTGATATTTCATAGATGTCTGTCTTTAAAGGGCGACCATCGTCTATATAAAAAAAGCCCTAAAGCGCACAATTCATTGGGCTAGGTTTGAAATAAATGCTTGTACATATGATCAGGTTATCTGATCATTGTCAGTGTCTTGCATACTATTTGCACATTAAAATGGATAAATGGATTATAACATACATGTACCTTTATAGGGAAAAATTGCTTGGGAGCTCCATATCAGTGGTTCAAGTTGCTTATTTAATACATTGCTGTAGATTTGAAACTAGTCTTGGAATTTCCATTTTTCATATAAAGAAGTATGTCTTGCAAGTTAGTGGAAGTAGGATTTACTCTGTTCGCAGGTGCCTTAAATAACTTGTGCCTTTGATATTTAACACAAATGGGCATTTGAAATGTTCCTCCACCTGTAATACTGGAAAGTTAACTTGTGAATTTTATAGTCAATTTGACTAGCCAAGGCAAATAGCTGTGTAAATAACACAAGCCTTTACTGATTATAAGACTGCCTTAGAGAATTTGTATATCATACAGCTTAGAATAATTCTCAATTTCTTGATGTACATGTATCATATATGATTGTGAGATAGCTGTTGTTTAAGTCACCGACCTCCAGCTGATATTATTATCTATGTGTTATTTTACTTTGACACAAAAGCACATTTCCTGTCATGGTGTGAATATTTGATGTAATCTTTGATAAGCTTCTAGAGAAGTGCCTGGAATGACAGATATATGGTATATACAGTACTGATGTCAATAGATAATTACCTTTTTCATCTATAGCTTATTGTCAGCATGTTAGACTTGATTTATTGGATATCACATGAAGCTGTGTTTAATGATACAAATGTAATACTTTTTTCAGGTGCATAATGTGTACATATTATTTCAAAAAAGAAGAAGATAGGCTAGATGTAAGAGCCATCTGATAAAGAAACAAATTAAGGAATTCAATTTTCAGGACCAGATTACAGGTATGTTATAGAATTTTTAAACAATTATTTATATACTGGTATCTAATATAATTATTTAACATTTTAATATATAAATAATTTTGCTGGAAAATATCAAATTGTAAATTTTGGAAAAATATCAAATTGTAAATTTTGGGAAATTGTCAAATAGAAAATTTTGGGAAAATGTCAAATTGCAAATTTTATATCAAATTGTAAATTTTGTAAAAATATGAAATTGTTAACTTTGTGAAAATATCAAATTGAAAATTTTGGGAAAATAAGGGACACAAAATTCTGCAACACCGTCAAATTTAGAAACATTAATTTTTTACATCCTGAATATTAAAATGATATATATATTAATATCTTGTCAATTTATCGTGATTTAACAGACATTAATTTGCCTTTGCAAAATGATTGTTTGAATGGGGTTTTTCAGCATAATTATAAAAACTAGAACTGTTTTATATATATTTAAACATTTTTAATACATAATCTATTTGTTCTTATTCATTTGATATTATATCTACAGTATACTTATATAATGATGTACTAAAAGCATTTACATCACAGCCTAGAGGTATACATGTATATGTATTCAATAAACAATGCCATGAAGAAATTTGACACCACTTTAATATAAACTTATACATGTAGATATTTTACTTTTAGAAATATTACAATGTATTTAGAAGACATAGTTTTCTTTGCTAATCTTGAACAATTATTTCTATTACTTTTAATTACATGATAAACTTTATATAACTACGTTAAACAAAGACTTCATTGCTGTCTGAGTAAAGTGTGGGAACATTATATATATTATAATAAGGGTTATTTATTTCTGATAAGAAATTTAGTGATTATCATATTGACAGGATGTTTTCATGCTGATAAGACGATAAATGACTTCTTGACTGCTGATAAGATGTTAACATAAGCTGCTGATAAGAATGTGATTGTGATGCCTGCATTCTGATAAGATTATTTAATTAATAACTAGTATATGTATTTTCAGCCAATGAAATTCTTTTCCCTATGTGATCCAGCCAATGAAATCATTTTCACATACACTTTAGCCAATGAAATTCCTTTTGACAAGTGATTCAGCCAATGAAATCATTTTTAGATGTGACACAAGATGGAGTATCATGGGTTATTAAATAGCCGTGTTCTCACTGCAATGAGAAAGAGGGACATAGAAAAAGTTCAGCAGTTACTTCTGATGCCAAACTTTGACCTCAACTATTCATCAAAAAAGAAAATCACCCCTTTGATTCTTGCAGCAAAATTAGGTAGGCTTTTACAATTGCAATTGTGCTTACTTTTAAAAGTTTAATTTTAAAGTAATTTTTCTGGTCAGAAACTAAATCACATTGACAGTATGTTTAGGTCATATAGTGGCTTTAAGGTTATATAGTGGCTTTCAAGGTCACATGACAGCTTTCAAGGTCAGCTTTCAAGGACATATGGTGGCCTTCCAGCTTAACCAAAGGTACCTTGATAGATCCACCAGCTTTCACTGAGCTATTTACTCAGCTGTCTGAGATGAAATTTTAATAAAACCCTGTCCTTAAACAGGAATTAATCAAATTGACAGTCTTAATATCTTTTTATTGTACAATCAGTACATATCTTGTGAAAATTTCCCTTATTAAAGCCATGAATGATTAAAAGATGGAGAAGTGTATTTAAGACATATAGCTTGGAGAGGGTTATATTTCACATGGTAACAATATGTAAATTTTTCATATAACAATTGTGGGGTAATACTATGTACATAAAGGTCATGATCAGTATGTTAATATTAAATAACATATTTTCAGGATTGTTGAGTGTTTGTGAAAAACTGGTATCCTTGAAAGTAGAATTATCCTGCTCGGATCTAGACGGACGGACAGCTTTACACCATGCTAGTTACCATGGTTTCACAGATATTGTAAATCTGCTGATAGCAGCTGGATGTCATGTTAACAAGGTAGGCTTATGTGATTAGGATATTGACTAAACCTTAACCTGCTGTCAGCAACAGATTCTACCCATGTTAACAGTACAGACCAAGAATAGCCAACACATCCATGCTGTTTGATCATGGTCTGCACTGTTTGCTATTCAGTCAATTCATATTTTGAATTTTTCCTAAAACTAACAGGGGCATCCATAGCTGAATGGTTAAGGTAGTTGATTCTAAACCACTTGTCCCTTAAGCTTAAGGTTCGAATCCTGACAGGGACTTTGTATTCTTTCATGTGTGGATTCTATCCAGTTTAGCTTATAGAATGTCATTGGTTCTTCTCAGGTGCCCCTTAAATTCATGCCTGAAATAATTTGCGGCCTTCCTCTAACAGTTCCTCTACTAGTTAAGCTGGAAAGTCACCATATGACCTATACTGTGTTACTGTATAGTCATGTCCAGATTAAAAGATCATAAGTCATGTCTATTTAAGATATTTGTGTAAAGATAATGATTAAATGTTTTATGTGCAACTTATATTAATTAGTGCACGATTGGTTACATTTTCAGTTAAATCTATATAGTCATGGGTTATTGCTATATACATTATTATGTTTTTACAAACATATTCATAATCTGTCGGATATTTAGTTCCATATATTATACTGGCATTTAGTCACTTAGTTATAGCCTATATCAAATAAGTGATCTTTTATTTTCAAGGTTAACCAAGAAGGTGACCTTCCCCTTCATGAGGCTGTATCCAATGGTAACGTTGAAACTGTAGAGGCTTTGTTGGCAGCAGGAAGTGATATCAATAGACCTAATCAGGTGACAGGAAGTACACCTCTTGACCTGTCTGTACTGCATGAGAGAGCAGACATTGTCAGCACATTATTAAAGGGTGGTGCTAATGTTCATAGGTATGCATAATTGCAAAGTAGATATTATTTATTAGTTAGTGTTTGATTCACATTTACTATTGATTTTATTAAAGTAATGTTGATGAAATATTGTTTCTGTACCATTTTGTAAGTGCAATATCATACCTTGAATAATAACCTCAAAATAATATCTTAATGGAAGAGGCTTTTGCATAGAAAATAGCTTTTTTGACATATTTTCAGAGAGCTGTGTCCTTAATAAGACAGTAGATGTCTTACAATAGGTCTCATGCAATACATGTGTAATATTTCTTAAATTTACTTGAACTTTCATTTATTTCTACAGGAAATCCAGTGCTGGAGAAACGGCTCTACATTTTGCTGTTCAGGTTGGCTCTCTTAAAATCATAGAATACCTGCTAGGTGCTGGCGCAGATATTAACAGTGTGAATAATCTTGGGGAGACCCCTCTAGCACTTGCTGTTCAAGAGAAGAAATTGAATATTGTGAAATATTTAGTAGAAGCTGGTTGTAAGTTTGACCATTCGGAATATCTATCACCAATGTACATAGCGTGCCGTCAGAACAGTCAAGATATCATTAGTTACTTTCTATCGGAGGGAGTCAATTTAAGCCGCGACAGGTGGCTTATGAGATATACATACTTAAAATTGGAGGAGTCTAACCCAGAATTATTGGCATTTGTGTTCCACCGATGTGAAAATCCACTTACGCTAAAAGAGATCTGTCGAAGTAGTGTTCGTAAAGCATTACAACCAAAACTAAAGGAAAAAGTTTATCGCCTAAAATTGCCAAAATCGCTCGAGCATTGGGTAGCTAGTGATATAATTCACGATATTTTTTAATTGTATTGTACTTATGTGCCAAATGTTTTGCCATTTTAACAAACCTGAGTTTTAACCAAGCTATTTTAGAGATTTGTTTTCTATGATTGAAAATATGTTATTATAAGCATTTTTTATGAAATTGTTATTCGGTCTTAAAGGGTAATATTTTGTAGAATTTTTGTCAGGATTGTACAGTTATCTTTAACAAGTGTTTAAATTTTGTTGTAATGTGCATACAAAATTCTTAATACATTTTATTTCCTGTAAGTACAAGGGGAAACTTGTACATTGTTCTAGTCATTAGATTTATATCATGTTTTTTTGGTTGTTTTTCATGTGAACTTGTTTGTTTGATGTTTTTCGTAAGTATTTATTTTGAGAAACAAGGGAATCTAAACAAGACTTATTTGATGTTTTTGTGAAGTATGCATGTAATTGTTTTGAGATATTCGCAGAAATGTAAACCAGGATTGCTCAGTTTTACTTAATAACCATAGAAATTAATTATCACAGCATTTAAAGTTATTTTTGTATTCTCAGACTTACTGTTTGTGGCATGATATGCCAGGAAGCTTGATATCAAATTTCAATGTTCAAATTTCTTTTATTACAATTTTTATGCCAGATAGCTTACTTATGATATGTATAACTATGTACATGTACATATTTGAAATTTTATATAGTTTTGCCTGAATAGACTTTTTTAATGTTATAAGAATCGTTAAAATAGCTTTTACTTTTGTTTCAATCATATTTACATACGCTCGATCGTGAAGAAAAACTGTAGCTCAATATTTGAACCACTCTTCACCTTTGAGCTTTTATGTTCAGCATTGTTCCTGAAATTGTTGATATTGATATATTATTGTTTTGGTTTATTTATATCATCACTATTTATAACCATTTTGAAGTATTTTAAAAAGCTCGAAACATGACCTACTTTGGTGCTGGCTCATCACACATGTTTGTAGTTGACCTTGACCTTGATATAACCACTCAAGGTCACGATTTTCTCATCATGTACATTTGTATTTATTTTTTCATTGGATATTGTGTTTATATGGCTCGATATTTTTCATCTTTTTTTAGATGGTATTTGTGACAGAAATGATAGAATAAAATTTGAGCCGCGTCACTACAAAACCAATATAATGGGTTTGCGACCAGCATGGATCCAGACCAGCCTGCGCATCCGCGCAGTCTGATCAGGATCCATGCTGTTCGCTTACAAACCCTATAACAAGTAGAGAAACTGATAGCGAACAGCATGGATCCTGATCAGACTGCGCGGAGGCGCAGGCTGGTCTGGATCCATGCTGGTCGCAAACCCATTATGTTGGTTTTGTCATGACGCGGCTCATTTATTTGAAAGAATATCAAAATGTGTTTACCATATTTCTGATGACATATATATGAAATTTTTGTTGGGTCTTTTCATAAAATTATACCATATTGCTATAGTAATGAATGGTCCAGTTGTCTGCTTGCTAAGGTCAATAGTGAGGGAATATAATTCAGTAATCCAGGGGTTGCTTATAGTGCTATCCCATGGGGAGGCAAAATTTTTGTTTGATAGTTGACAAAGAAAATTGAATCTTATGATAATTTATTTATTCATGTTGGATAAGCAGTTGGTCACTTGCAGATAATTGGATAATTACTGGTTAGTTATCCAGTTTTGAGTTGGAAGTCTGCCAAGATATGACCAAAAATGTGTTAAATTAGTATAAGGAAAAACAAAAACTAACAAACTTGGTAGAATTATTGTGGAATCATCAAAGTTCAGATAAAAATTTTAAAAATCATATGCTTTTATTTTTTCAACAAGAGTTGTGTCCCTTAATAGGGAACGCTTTCAGTCAAATCAAGAATTGAGTTTTCTACCAGTTTTCAATTTAATTCTGAGTGAATTTCTTTATGAAATTTGGCACATTCTTTCATTAGAAGTGTTTCACTTGATATTTGAAAGATTTTCAAATTTTATGTTTTTAGGCCTTTTGATCTCAGTGGTGTTACATGTATGTACTTTAATATTTGTGTGGGTGCTAAGTGGAAAGAAAACACAAACTAACATTGTTTTTCTTGTGTAGTTTATATTTTTATTTCATTACATCTCTTTTTTCAAAATTTTTTCTTTGATATGCTAAATCATGACACCTATAGGCAATAACATAATGACAGAGAAAAACAGAAAATTAAAAACAATTTCCATGTTAAAATATCTGCGTTTGCACTCTGAAATTTACACTTTGAACATAGAAAGAAGATTTGCCATACAGGACAAGTTTAATTGAATGATAATTATTTTGGAAGTTTATCATTTTGATTGTATAAGAAACTGCAAAATAAGTTCATATTTCAATTTATTACATGCTTTTTTGTGGTTTATAGAAATATATCAGTGATATAAAACTGGTATTTTCACTGTTTGAAACAGTGAAATTACCACTTTGATAATTTCACTGTTTTGAATTTAAGCCCCTTACATTGTTTCAGTGAAATACCAGCGTGCACAGAACTGGGTACCAACTTAATGACGTGACGTCGTAAATGACGTCATGTTGTATTATTATTTGGCGCGCTTTTCATTCAGTATTAGGTTTAAAGTCTTTTTAAAACGTTTCTTTGCATATAATAAAAAGAAAATATGTTTAGTTTAGTGTATGATCGAAATATATTTCACCTTGTGAACACCAAAAGTTCATATTTCACTCGTGGCTGCGCCACTCGTGAAATATACCTTTTGGTGCTCACTCGGTGAAATATATTCCGATCTTACACTGAACTAAACAAATATCCTCTATATATTTAACTTAACATTTGTATTTTTTAATGACAAGTGTGAATTGTTTTTATCAATGTATACATACAACAACCTTGTACTTCTTCATGATTTCTCAATATTATTGTTAAGGGGAGCAGTGGCCTAGTGGTTTAGGTGTGTGCTTCTCTACCCAGGGATCATGGGTTCGAGCCATATTCGGGTCATGACCATGTTTCTTTACATGGTTGTTTCCAGGAAGCCCGAAAGTGATTATCATAATATGCATTGCCAAGAACTTGTTTCACAATCAAGCTTAAATAACATATGTTTAAACCAATATTGTTGCAAATGGTCAAAAATGATATTATATTGTTAAAAACATGATAAAAAAATCGAAAAGCAACGACAGAAAATTATGTTTGAAGATAATATCTCTGATACTATAATTGGTAATGATCCAAATAAAATGAAGAAAGTTGTAAAAGCATGATAAAAAAAATCGAATAGCAACGACTGAAAATTATGTTTGAAGAAAATATCTCTGATACTATAATTGGTAATGATCCAAATAAAATGAAGAAATGTGTAAAAAAAAAAATAATTAGTAATTGTCCAAATAAAAAAGTTAAAAATATCTAGAGAGTATAATAGTACTGACATGTGATATCCTAAAACAAATATCAAATCTTTTTTAAAGGCACATTATTTCTCAGAAATACATATTTTTTTAATTGTTTAGAAATGTTGAACATGTGTTTAATAATATTTTAATAATATATTTAGAGCATGTAAGATGTTAAACAGCTGAAGAAAATAGCGCTGAATATGCAGTAATATGTCGCAAAGGTAGAAAATGTAAACAAAAAAGTATTTTGACTTCCGTGCAAAATACAAATTCACTATAATTATACCAATTGCCAAAAGAGCAAAAAAATCCAAAGATAATTCATCATCAGTTGTGGCAAATGAGTATTTCTTTTGAAACTGTAACAAGATACCAAAAATAAAAAGTTTTTGAGAAATAAAAATAACAGCATATCTGAGGCACAGGTGCTAGTGGCATTGATTTGACCTTAAATGTGTTTGACCTTGTTATTTATACAATAAAATATCAATATATTAAAAAAAAAAAAAATTAGAAAAAAATTTTTTTTTCACTGTAATATTATTAATAATATAACAGTGAATTTTTTTTTTTTTTTTTTTAATATATTGATATTTTATTGTATAAATAACAAGGTCAAACACATTTTAGGTCAAATCAATGCCACTAGCACCTGTGATCTGAGGCATAATGGGCCTTTAAACCCTTTAACTACCAAAGTTGTAAAATGGACTTATAATGTTTTGAATATGGAACAGTCCATTGTCAATGTAAGGGGTGGTGATATCAATTTTTTACATTTGAAACTGAAATCCCTTATAGACTGTTCCAAATTCAAAAAAGTACAAATACATTACACAAATTTAGCAGGTTTAAATGATTATTTTTGTATAATTTATTTACTTTAAATGTTCAGTCACAGGGACCCAGCACAGTGTTGAGAAAGTGTAAAAAAGTAATTCCAAAAAATAAAATATATACTGTATATATAATATATAGTCTATATATTATATATAAAGTTTTTTTTTTCCAGAATAACTTTTTTTACACTATCCCAACACAATGTGCCGGGTCCCTTTGTGTTCAGTCAGTAGTAGTCAGTATTAAAAAAAGCTCTCTAAAAGCAAAGACAAATAAATACTTCTTTACAAGAAAAATATAGTCATGATTGTACATGTATAATGTCAATCATACATGTATATTGTTATGAATGAATATATTCCGAAACAGTGATTAGTAATACATGTACATGATATTCTTGAACAAATATGGCATCATTGAAGAAATACAAGAGTGTGAAAATATAAAATATGAAAAGAAAATTAAAGAAAAACACTTCCATTCCAACTTATTATGAAATATCATTAAAAATTAATGAAAATATGTTATTTGAAACTTTTTTTGTAAAGATTTGGACGTAGAATAACCTTTATTTTGATTCAAATTTGTGAAATGCAGCAAAGAATTGACATATTGTGACAGTAAAGTTCTGCCTTTATAACCACTATATGATTTTTATTAATTTGTGATTGGAACTTTTTTAATTTTAAATTCATCCAATGAATAAGCAGATCACGAAAGAACTTGATATTCTTACACCTTATCTGTTAAAGATAAAACATGCTAAAAATAAATTTGTCATTTCAAATAATGTAATAAAAATGTGAAAATAGTGGTCTCAAAAAGTTAAGATATTCAGATTTTGTAACTGTGGTCTCTATATATTCACTGGTTGTCTTTCACATTGGTTTTACCGATGATGAAAAGATAAATGATAAACAGAAATACGTACATGTAAGATATATAGAATCAAATAAGAACAACGTAAAAATGTCATATGTAATGAAATTACACAAGGTAAAAATATATAACAAATATAATACAATATACAATAATTGTGTTAATGATGCATATATTACATGCCTATATACAAATATAAAATAGTATTAGTAGCACACTTAAATATATAAAAATAAAAATATATAATATATGATATTAATCATTAATGATCAAATTAAAAGATATATATATATGCTCATGTATTCACTGGTATAAAAATATAGGAAAAATCTCACTAAAGTTTGGTCCTTTAACATTTTCAAAGCCATTTATTAGAACTAATGTACCATCTTAGTTGCTTACTGATAAGATTTGAGTAATATAATTATTAAATAAGGATTTGAAATTGATTATTAATTGAAACTTATCCGGACAGTCAATTAAGTTTCTGTGAATGAAATGAGTCACCAGTTTCTGCAAGAGGTGTCTGTTAGTCAGTTAATATTGCACACCTTTCCTATAATCATCCCTGGCCTCTGCTATGGTGGCTGATTTGTGCCATGTCGTATTTTCTTTGTGCTGGACAAAAATAAGACTTATCAACATTTTACCCACAAAAAAATCAGTGGCGATTTTTTGGGGTTTTTTTTTGCTTGGCACCCCATGGAGCAAAAATATGAGCTGGCACAGATCAGTCACCATACTCCGCTAATATAATTTGAAACGTGGCTAAATGTTAGTTGGAAAGCATTTAACCTCAAGTAAAGTGTGTAATATGAATCTAACAATATATATTGAAGTTTTGCACTTGAAGTTAAATATAACTTTATAAAGCTATTTAAAACAAGTTTATTGTATTAAAATCACGTTTGTTTTCTATGACCAAAACACACGATTTTAGGAAATTGAAAAAGTGTCTTTTTTATATATGATTTTTTCTATCAATTTAAACAATGTTTTAAAACTCCTACAAATGTAGTAAATATTGCATAGATGATGTATATAATACATATTTGTAACTATTTAATAAATCTATTGAACCTAACAAGATGCTTAGATCAAACGGCTGAACTTTTCTTTTTCATGTCAGCAAAAATAGGAAGCATAGCTTGTTCTTTATTAATTCGTTTGGCTTCCCTTTGAGAAGACGATCTTGACCTCCGCGTACTTCCGCTTCCGCTTCTAGAACTACCCGCACTTCCCGGTGACCTTGACCTATCATGTCTATCACTGCTCGAGCTGCGATCTTTACTGCGAGTTCGCCTAGGTTTTCTACGACCTTGTTCGTCTTTTTCATTGTTTTTGTATCTCCTGTGTGAGCTAGACCTCGATGGTGAATTTCGCCTAAGACTTGGGTTCTTTTGAAACCGCGATGAAGACGTTGTAGCTGTAAAATCAGTGCCTTCAGTGGTCAAAGACGCTCCCGTGGCCTCTGAACTCTCGTATGTTCTTGATGGAGAAGAATCTCGTTTCTTGGACTTATTTCTAAATGCTTTTTGGTCATCCCATTCTTTACTATCACGACGCGCTAAATTCTTCTCATGCTTTTCGAGAGTTTCAATAGTGAGTGGCGAATCACTACGCGGATTTCGTTTAGGAAAGTCTTCACGTCTTGACATTCTTTGAGATTCATCTTCAGTTCGACGATACCTTCCACCTGTATTCCTGGAATCGATTTCATCTTGCCTACCCGTGGCTCTTTTGTAAGAGCTACGACTTTTCCTATCGCGTTCCCGGTCTGTCTCGCGTTCCATTCTATAATTTCCTCCAACCACTTCATCATCCACACTCGACGAATCCTCGTATGAAGATTCACTAGAAAACGCGTCATTGACCTGGCCACCACGAGGTCGACGGACACGTGGTGGGGATAAATCTCTTCCGTCAGCATCGCTTACAGAAGAGGTGTCAGAACTATGCCGCGTAAAAGCTGGATTTGAGTGTCCAGAATCGTGGCCACGTTCGCGTCGTCTGCTTCGTCTTGCCGCTTCCGGGTCAGGAAACTGATTGACCTTTGAACGCTGGGGGTAGTCGTATTGGGTATTTGATGCCGCTGAAATAAAAACAAAAATGTTATCTTAGTTATTATGTTAGTAACTATTTCAAGCATAACTATAGTGCCTGACGAACAGTGGATAAATGAAACTACACATGTACTTCCATTTTTCACAAGAAAGGTGCGAGATAAAATACGTTGGCTACTCTAATGTAGAAGGTGTTCGTTATAGCAAGACATAGTGCACATTTAATTGAATAGACCTAGCTGTGATTTCATATATACTTCCAATCAAATGTTTGAGTAGGATAACATTAACTTTAGTACCATAAGTCCAGGCATGGCTTTTTGCTTGACAATTTCCAGTCAGACACTAGTATCCTAAATGAAAGTATCGTCTTATATAACAGTTCACATATATTTCATGTATGTGAACCATGTATGTGAGGCAGCTATCCAGCCAGCTTATATTTGGACAGCTGATTCTACCCATGTATACCTTCTAGTACCCGAAATAATGACCTAATTAAGGCGTTCCTGGCATGATCCTGTCCAGTAAAACCTCATCAACAATGTTTATAACAATTAAACATCAACTTATACGAAATGCATGAAAATAGCAAGAGACTTTAAAGAAACAGTAAGAAATAAGTAAGAAGCCTTTTCAAAAATTATCACATAGTTTAAGACGTTTTTACAATACATTATAGTGTATCAATAATTATTTAGTTTTAACTTTTAACCTTTGTTGTTAATATTAGGACAATTCAAATAGTACATGAACAATCAGTATTACTTCACAAAATGAGACCGTCATATATGTCGCAAAACCAACGAAACCAGTGACATAGACGGATGTACAAATATACTATTCCTGGCGAGACGAAACGTTAAAAGGTATTAATAATTATTGCTACAACTTTATATGAGTTATAACGATAAAGCACAGATAGGGCTGTAGACCATGGCGTTGAAGATGACACATCATTTCACCAATAGAACTCTCCTTTTTTCCATTAAAAAGTGTACGTATTGTTAAATAATGTTATTTTATGGGGTTTTTTTGTTCTTTTTTTTTTTGTTTGATCTTTTTTTTTTAACAGGGAACATGTATGTAAACATTTTTCATTTTGGAGAAAAAGCTATACGACTAGTATTTACCCGTTGAAAATACATCAGTTGATTTTGTCATGTTTGTGTTCGCCTTCTCTTTCCTCGCTTTCATATAGCAGTATATCACTAGAGCTATCACGCCGACAATCAAGGCGCAACCTCCGACCCCGGCGCCGACGAATATGCCCGCCGAGGCTCCGCCCCCGCCACCGTCCGACATGTATGGGTACTGACCTGTAAATAGACGTAGAGATGATTTATATTACGGAACTCGGTTAGTGTTGTAATGATATTAATAAAAGTATTGACAATTAAAATAACTACTGGAATGATAATTATAACATTATCTTTGATTTTTATTCAATACTATCATTGATAACATAATACAAAGTTGAAGGATGATGACGATAGTGATAATGATGATGGGTGTTGTTGTTGACGGTATTGTTGTTGTTGCTAATGATGATTGTGGTGAGCATGATGATGATGAGGCTTACGACGGTGATGATTTTGATGGTGCTAATAGCAACAACGACGATGGTGGTAGTACGATGATGATGATGATGATGATGTTAAAGTTGACGGTGATCATGATAATAAAGATGATGGTAGTGGTGATAGTGATAAGTTATGACAGCATAGTCAATGTCAGGTATTAGTGTTTGAAGATGATGATAATGATGGTGTTAATGATGACGACGACGACAATGATAATAATGACGATAATTATGATAGGGATAATGATGCTGATGATGATGATGATAGTAGTGTATTTCAGTGACACAATTTAAAAATTCACATGTTGACGGAAATGACATTTGTAACAGAAATGAAATTTTTTTCTTGTAAATGAACAAAAGTTAAACGAAATACACAAAAATGTAACAAATGTAGATATATGCACCAAGTGTTATGATGTATGGTACACATTATATCTGTATGTAACTAACTACCGGTGAAATGTATAATTTATTAAGCTACAAGTACTGTTAGACTGACATCATGTACTAACATTATTATAATGGGATGTCTCGACTACATGACAAAATTTTACACATGTCTCCAAGGTCACGCAAGTTCACTTTTCCAGCCCTTTATCAAGATCGTCCTCAAATGTTCTTATAAAACATTTACTGAGAATGTTGAAATAATAGTAATATTAAGGAAATGACATTATATAGAAATATGCACCTTGAAAGTTTTTCATTTCCAGTGAATGAGATTTACATTCTAATGTATATTCGTACCCGCAGAAATGTGGAGAAAACGGGTCCGTAATGCATGTATAAAAGAATAACTCATTACCACAATATTATATAATCTAGAAAAACAAGAGCTGACAGAGGAGACAGCACGCTCGATAAATTATGTACTGGACGCAGTAAAGGAATGCAAAACTACAAATATATTTCTGTACATCAGTTATCAAGGAAGCACTCAAATGTTCATTTTTTTTCTCAAAATTTTATAATCTTGACAAAAATGCAGAAAAACTCTTATTCATTGTCACTCGATTAACACAAATGCAAGTACATGTAGGTTATTATAAAATTTACAGGTTTATAAATGTCGAAGTCTCACTTTGCGCGCAAAAAGATGATGTTTTGGACGACATATGTTGCGTTGACCGCTTTGTTGTTGTTGTTGTTTTTACTGACATATTCGAGCCTATTACATGTCGTCTGCACGTTGACAAGTGCAAACTCGTAAAAGGGTTATTTAATGTTTCTGCATAATTACTATAATTGAAAACATAGGAAAAGCTATTAATTTGAGCTCTTTTCCCACTTTTATTCGTGTTTAAATATAAACACATGTTTCTTTACGCCGGGTTTTCAGTTTGACTGGTTGAACGAGCCTTATACGAGCTTCAATCTATACGCAGTGTTTTTTTTTATGAAATTTTCAACACAACCTGTGGCTTTCTGAAGGAGACAAATATAGCGCTATAAATCAGCAAAATGAAAACGCTAACAACTAAAAAGGGAATATCACCATACACTGATCAAATTTTTAATTCATTTCAATTTAACATGCAAGGTAGGCTACAAAGCAAACAGTATACTGAAAGCTTTTTTGTCTTCGTCCATTAAATTTAACATCAAGCTGATCTTCGTCAGCTGCTGTTAAGTCATGGTTCTGGTGGCATTCCGTACTACGGAATGCCGTTAGGGCCATCGCCTATGAATGTGTTGATCTGAAACGCGATAGTCGATAGTACGATGGTGAAAACGCAAAATCACGAAACTACGATGGTGAAAACGCGAAATTACGATGATGAAAACGCGATAGTACGATGATGAAAACGCGACAGTACGATACTACGATGATGAAAACGCGATAAACTATCGTGTTTTCACCATCGTACTGTCGCGTTTTCACCATCGTAGTTTCGTGATTTCGCGTTTTCATCATCGTACAATCGTGTTTTCATCATCGTACTTTCGCGTTTTCACCATCGTACTATCGCGTTTTCATCATCGTACTGTCGTGTTTTCATCATCGTACTATCACGTTTTCACCATCGTATTGTCGTGTTTTCATCATCGTACTATCGCGTTTTCATCATCGTACTTTTGCGTTTTCATTATCGTATTATCGCGTTTTCACCATCGTAGTTTCGTGATTTCGCGTTTTCACCATCGTACTATCGACTGTCGCGTTTCAGATCAACACATTCATAGGCGATGGCCCTAACGGCATTCCGGAATGCCATTCGGGCCATCGCCTATGAATGATTTGATCTGAAACGCGATACTCGACAGTACGATGATGAAAACACGATAGTTTATCGCATTTTCTTCATCGTAGTATGGTACTGTCGCGTTTTCATCATCGTAATTTCGCGTTTTCATCATCGTAATTTCGCGTTTTCACCATCGTAGTTTCGTGATTTCGCGTTTTCACCATCGTACTATCGACTATCGCGTTTCAGATCAACACATTCATATGCGATGGCCCTAACGGCATTCCGTACAAATCGGCTGGGCATTGCAAGGAAAAATAATGTATTTGGGGGAAATTTTGGCATTTTTTGACTAGGGGAAACAAAATTGGCCTATTCCAAACAGACTTCCTGTTCTCCACACCAATCTTAAAGTGATAAATTTTAATGATTATTTACTAGACGTGACCATTTTGCGTAACTTAAAAGGAAAACATAACTTGTACAACAAAAGGATATAAAAAATAAATATCAAAAGCATTAAAGTATTTGTCATATGATATAGCACGGTGAAATAAGTTATAATACTATAAATATCACAAATACATGTAGTATTTGTCATAAACGGCTTTACTATGTTTACAGTCGGTACTGGGTAGGTCACGATTTTGTGTGTCATCAATTTCTTTTCTTTGTAAGCTTTTCAATTAAGATGATCAAAATATTTATTTCTTTTTGGTTGTATGTCCATTTGAATATTACCTTGAATTTTACAGTTAAGCAATCAGACAAAAACATTGCATTGAATTGAAATTGAATAGAAGATCTATAGTCATGATAGTATATCTATGCATGCGATTTAACGAAGGAAATTTCATGCAAATTTAAAGGTATCGTGAATAATTTCCCTTATTTCAAACGAATTAACTTTAAATACTTTAAAATATGTGTGTGAGGACCCCCCACCCCCTTCCAGGAGGATGAAGAAATATATGGCCATGTAAAACAATACGATTCTCTTTAAAATGTATTCCTAAATTTTAAATAAGCGGATTCAAATGTAACTCGAGAGCCATGACGGCAAACTTAACGATACCAGTACATATATGTATCTGAGCCAATGATCAGATACATTTGTTACTCATCGATCATTTCGTAGGTCAATGGTCTGAAGGTAACTGGCCCGGGGTTATTTTGTCTGTGTTATGGTCACGTCATGGGAAATTCACGTATTCAAATTATGTGCATTCAATAAACCATTCAATCAGTATCTGCTTTGTTGTATGTTAATGTTCTTCCTACCTATAGTCAAATCATTATATGACGTCTAGAATGGGTTCTGGAATACCTCTGTTTTGTTAAGGTTAGAATTCATGGGAAGGAAATTGTCAAGAAAAAATACAGAACAATTTAATGAAAGGTCAATCCTACCTGAAATGAATTAAATGTTCAAAGTTTAATGATCTTAATATATATATGCAGCGCATGTCAATGGGGGAAATAATGTCAACAACTATACAAACAGGATAATCTATTTCAAAGAGTGTTGGACCATAAACACTTGATTCCTACCTTCATGGCTTGCCATTTACATACATGGGGAAAAATAGGACTCGCCCTTAATATATTAAGATGGCTCTTTTAAGACTCCATAATATGAATAATTTTGTATGACTTATTTGTGATTATAGGTAAAGGCGGCTCCAAAAACACTCTTGCTTGTTGGATTAACCTTTTAGCGATGTGGTTCAGTGTCCGCCCAGTAGTGACTGAGTCCATATGGCATGGGCTAAATCCCCATTTGTTCAGTGCAAGATATACATCAAATTTAGGATTACTTTAACAATATCAAAGTATATTTTGTGAACAAACCTCGTACTGTTGTAAATATAACTCGAGGAAACCATGTTTGGTTCATGACTCTCTTCTCCGTAAATCCGGTTGTTGTAGAGGATATATTTGCAGTCGAATTCATTGATATATCCCTACAGTACTGTATAATTGGTCGAAATGTACACACTAATGTACTTTTTATGTACTAAATTATCAACCTCAGTGTATTAAAATTTAAATCCAAATCTCACATTTACATATGTCCAAAATCATCACAATTATTTCAAATATAGTTTGGAATAACTCCTGAATAAAGCGAATAACGGAAACATGTATACATTGTGGTCAAACTAAGGCATGAATGGTCACTTTGAAATGCAAATTGACCTCTCAATTTCAATTTAATGGTCAGTTTAATGGCCCCAGGTGATGATGAAAGATCAAAGGGCCAATCAACAGGTGAGAATAAGTTATTACCCAGGGCAAGATAACAGTAAAATGCAACAAAATTTTACAAATTTCCCGTAAGGATTGCTTAAAGTTACGCACTTCGTCAATATCATTATATAATATGGTTTTAGGGCTGTTTAATCACGATCAAACCTCGCTATTGACCTTAATGATAAATATAAAACATCAGTAACGCGGCTACAAATTATCACCTACCTTAATTAGTTCCTTAAATAAAATAAATCCGACTTTAATATGATGCGATACTTTAAAAAATCATGTCCTTAAGACGCCATATTTGAAAAAGCGTTACGGTATTGTGTTATGATCAAGTGGTCTATAAATAGAACAGTGTCGCATTCCTTTTATTAACTTACCTGTACTGGTTACCTGCCAGGTTAAAATTACAGGTAAGCGGGAACCAGGCAATACACACCTGGTTAATCATGGGTGATAGTAAACAAATTATTTTATCAATGACAAATATACGTTATATATTGTATATTTGTGTATTAGATGTTTACAGGATATTTGTGTATTGAAAGGTTTTTATTGACTAATGCTTTGATAACGAAACGTACTGTTACACAATTATCTATATACCTTGATAACACTTTATATCAATGTAATTATCTAGTTCAAGTAACCGAAGTTCTCCAAATGGTTAGGATGTAATAGGATATAATGTAACACTATATATTGACACATTTAAAAAAATGATTAGATAAAGAAAAGTAATATAAAAGCAATAATTATCATGTTTTCTTGTTGTTGTTGTTGTTAGGCCGTGTCTACACCTATTCAAGTTTCTTACATGTCACATTTAGATAAGCTAAATAAATGGCCCTTTCAACATTTTTTCAGGCACAATTTTTACTGAAATGTCTCATTAAGATAGCCCAGGATTTATACCTTTGTCTTTGCAAGACTATCATGTTTCTGTAAAATATGTGAAAAAAAGCGGGAAAATGATGCAATTAGCTAAAACAGAATGGAGTAAATGAAATGCGTTCATTCTTTTTTAAAATTGAAAAAATGTGACAAAAATTTATTTTGATGCAAATTCTTTATTTGATGAAAGTTATTCACTAAATGAACAAGATCATTTTAAATCCATTTTGACTCTACTTGAAAAAGAGCTCTTTTTTATTTTTTTACAATGTATTTATTTTTATTTATTTATTTATTTTTTGCTCTTCTGTGTATCAGCGTATTAATTTGTTCCTTTGACCAAGACATTGTAATCATTTACTGAAATTCAAAGGGCATGTACCAAAAAGTCAGAAAATAATAAAAATAACAGCACTATCAAACCTTCGGGCACATGTTTTGTGTCAAACCGGTGTTATCAGTGTCTTGACAGCCAAAAACTTGTAGAAAAATAGAACGTGTTCTATTGTTGTTGTTGAGGAGGAGATGGATTGATGATGATCGTTGGTGGTGATGATGATAATAATAATAATAATAATAATAATAATAATAATAATAATAATAATAATAATAATAATAATAAATAATAATAATGACGACGACGACGACGACGATGATGATGATGACGACGATGATGATGATGATGGCTGTTGTTGTTGATAATAATAATAAAAATAATAATAATAAAAGTAATAATAATTATAAAAAAATATAATAATGACGACGACGACAACGACGACGACGACGACGACGATGATGATGACGATGACGATGATGATGATGGTTGTGGTTGTGGTTGATGATGATGATAAACTGCTGATGAAAATGATATCAAAAAAGAAAGAAAAAGGAATGTCTACACGCTTAAAAGGGTTATATATGCATCCCATGAGAGTATTTTTCATCGTGTATACGGATTGTTACAAATAAAAATCTTCTGCATTTCTTTGAGAATGTTTCAAAGTATATTTGGTTAATGCTTCCGTTACAATCATGGACTTCTGTCAACGTAAGTCACGTGCGCAGAGTATTGTAACTCAGCAATTGTAATATAATTTTTTTCTATCTTCATCTAAAAAAAAACAACATAAATCTGATTCATAGCTTTGGCTACAAGTGCCCCGCCCTCTTCCTCTAAACCCTTAACCTGATGAATTTGTATAATGATCTTGCCCTCCTTTGAATTTGGAACAGTCCATTCAAGTTTCAGGTGTTTTCAACATCAAAATACAAAAAAAGCTTCCAACGGTAAAGAGCCTGGTCTGACAGCATGTCTTGTTCTATACTGGTGACAAAGACTAATCACATTCTCTTACAGAAGTATAAGGTTGAAAGATTTTCAAAAAAAAAGAGATCACTTAATTATCATAGTCGGTGAGTTGTCCTTTAAAGAACACTAATTTGCTTCTAACCACTAAGATTTTCTTTTATTTTATTAAGAATTGTTGAAATGTTTGTTCTGGGGACTTCTCTTAAGACGGACAAATTAAATGGACCCATTAATCTCTAATGCAAATACTAAAGAAAACTATTGTAAAATTTACAAAATCAACTTACTTGGTACATCAACGGGGTAAGGAGTTGGATTCATAGTCCCAACCGTCACGTATATTCCAATCAAGAATGAAAAAGGTTAAATCTGAAGTACTGACATTGAAACACTCATTGTAACTTTTGATAGTTTAAACAATAACGTAGCAGTTTAAATGCGTATATGACTCAACAACTGATTAAATTATTGCTAATAATTCACATATGAATTAATTAGCAATGTAGGTATGTATCTATATAATCCATGCATACCTTAATTAAAAGAACATAGTTTCTATGTGCTAAGCAACACTAAAAGGCCGTTTAAAGTAAACTATTGTTTCACGTCTCACTGACCTTTGTAGTGCCACACAAACAAATGTATGGTTATCGGGTTTATATAGATCAATTGGATAGAAAAGGATTAGTGCTGACCTAAATATGTTTGTCCGTTTACCAATCGAAACATTGCGATTCTCTCCGGGCGATCACGAAGCTTTCAATATGACAATAGAATTTCATGCATTAAACGGCGTATTATTCTCATCAGATACTTATATATTGCGTATTACAGAAAAAAATTTCATGTCAAACATGGGCTTGGAAATCTCACAATAATGTGAACTTGCAGGATAACAAATCTCTGATAAAGATTTTAGATGTATAACGTCATAGCTTCCTCTCCATTTATTTATAGATCTGTACGTGTTCTCCTGTATACGAAGACTCCCACTTCTTGAATTAAATGTCTAAGTTTTTCACTTGATATCAGCCTGTGTCTGGTGATTCCATGGCAATTTCGTCAGATCAAAAGGATAATGCAAGGACACGAAACGTGATTATATCACTTTCAACACCAAGAAACTTCTGGTGATGGCCCTTATCTATCATTCTGATTATTCATGTTATTGTTGGTGTCATGGTCTTACTAATTTTTGAAAAGATATACTCCAGGTAGTACATAATAAATTAATGAACTTCGTACTTAATCTTGGTCATAGATCATATATTCACAAACTGATTATTGAACATAAATGCATTAAGATTTTAAATTTGTTTCTAAACCATCCACCACCCATCCATGTATCCATCCATCCATGTACATGTATGTATCCATCCATCCATCCATGCATGCATCCATCGATTGCGTAAGGCCCCGTCCGATATTTTCACACATAATCAAGACAGTTGGGGCAATTAATTTCATTTTGTTCCCACCGTTTTTTACAGTACATACTCAGTATAGTAAAATGCATTGGTAATGGATGTCCAAGTATCACATCTTAATCTTATTTTTCAGGCCTATTTGAAAAATCAAAGTCGACGACGACAAAGGAATAAAATGCAAAAAAGAGAAAAATAATTATTGGGCGAGAATGGGCAATCGGAACGTCTATAATCCGAAGACTTACGGAAAGGGGAGAATGGACAGAGGAACTACAAACACACAAGCAAGCATGAATCTGCGTTTGAGCAAAGGTTTCCCATTCTAATTGCTATTGAGTTTCATTCCTAATGCAGAGGTGGGCTTTGAATAAACTGTTTTTTATATTTTTGTTACTAAATACAATTTTACATGTTTTATTTTCAGATTATGATGCCCATATGTTAATGATATTTTAAATAACCCCACCTTCAAACGACGTGTCACGTACTGTTTTCATTGGAATAATTATATTTTTCAATTTTGATTTGATATTTTCCTCTCTGATTGGACAAGAAACTGTGAAACAAGCTGTTACAAGCGGATGTAAAGAATAATCAATATAATAAGTTTATGTTGCAGAAGAATCAATCTGATAAGTTAAGATATAGAATATACATGTATATAGATATATATTGAAACGTATTATTTATTTATTTATACATTGTATAGAGCAAAACTTGTTTTTCTAATTCTATGAAAGATTCTTAAAAAGAATTGTAAGATTAGCTGTCTCTGTTATTTAACACACATGAATTTTGTACATAACCAGAATATTATGTTTCCGCGCAAATTCGTATTCTGTTATCTTAGGACTTTTACAATTTAGTGCGAGCATCATTCTCCCTAGAGAACATATACAGAGATATTTCTTTCAAATACGTATTTTGGTAATCTACTGTATTTCAAATGGTAAAGAACATTTTTTTTAAACTACAGGCATCAGATATTTTGCTCTATTCTCCTTTAAGATATAGAAAATCAGTCTGATAAATTTAAGATATAGAAAATCAGTCTGATATATTTTAAAATATAGAAAATCAGACTGATAAATTTAAGATACAGAAATCAGTCTGATATGACCAGGCATAGAATAACCAATCAATTCAATTAAAGTTCAGATGGGAAAAAAATGGAGATTTTAATAATCCTAGGTAAAAGATTACTAAAAACTAAAAGAACCTTTGA